GAAATCAAATATTTGTCCCTTCATATATTTCTTTTTAACGCAGGACAGATAATTCTTATATATACAGTTGTATATATATTTCAAACTATACCTAATTCTTTGTTTTCTGGTTAATCAGTTATAATTAATGTGTCTTTTAGCATAACTGAGGTGGATTGAAAATAAATTTCAAACTAGAATTCAATCCAGTGTTTTCTCGTCCGTCCGTGTCGAATTGCACCCGTCCATTTTATTGTCTATCATTGAATGTCTTGATTGTAACAGATAAAAATGATGTAAGCTGCATATTTATAATTTTGCCAGTTAATGTTCCGCAGTCTTATTGTATATAATAGAAGGGGTTCAAATTTCGATGGGGGTAAATTTTCAACGTGTCTGGAATCGTAGAATTACTCGTCTGGAATGATTTTATACGGTCAAAAAATGACCCTATTTGTCGTAGAATATTGACCCTGGGTCATTTTTCTACGGAGAAAAATAACCCATGGACAATATTCTACGGAAGTCACTTTTGTCATTACACCAGACTAAAGCACAGGGGATAAGTTCATTAATATGTGAGAGCAATACAGAAGTAAAATCTAGAGGATTATAGATAACCAGGGAATAACCTTCTAAAGCAGGGATTAGCTCATTTGACAAAGGCAATATTATTTATATTTTACTGTCTACATTTTATATAGCAAACAAATAAGTAAAGGTATGATAAAAGTAATTATTTATCTCGTATTTTATAAAGGAAAGAACATTTTGATATATAATCTTTTTAATGTTTAGATAACCTTTAATTCTCAATACATGTAGCTTCTCTCACCTAAATCCCATACACCTAAAGCTACACATATATGAACTGAGCAGCCCTGTCCTCTGGTCTGCAAAATATTCACCACTTTTAATTGCTTATGTGACTTTTTGGTCCTATTATATGCATGTATTTTGAAAGCCATAACATTGTAATGAAAATTAAATTATTGTCATTTTGTTGACATTAAAGAAGTTTTAAAAGGTATAATAAAGTGCTAGGAAGTGTGGTTTCTTTGCATTAATTACAGCATATATCTAGAAACAAATTAATGTCTTTCATCAGATGCACACCTGACTGATATTTAATATTATTATACTTTCATGTTAAATACTAAAATCTGATTGGATAAGACGCAGTTAACAATCTGTTTTATTACCCTCAGCCTAAGAAACACAAGTAACAACGGGTAACACAACGGTTATGCCACATGCGTAGAAAGTATGCGCGTACGCTTCACCGTAGAATTCTCAAAACGTCAGTTGTGCGTTTGAAAGAACCGGAATAAACTTGACGTCAATTAAAGCTAGCGTCCGATATAGCTTACTTGAAAACAACAAACGACAGACGAAACATGCTTGCGAGTGCAGAAATAACAAAACTTTAGATGATAAAGGGCTCGTAGAATATCAAATAAACAATAAAAGGTCAGTAAATCTTTTTCGAAGTAGCAGGGAGTTTGAAATCTTTCTAAACGTGAACGAAAAGGCGATCGACGATTTGTATTGCTGACATAGTAAATCAAGAAGACGAGTCGGTTGACAATGGTTTTCCTTTGGGTGTCAATTTCAACTGTTACCCTCCAAAACAGGCACCATTTATATAATATATGTTTCTAAGTATGCACTTCCAAAGTACTGGTACTACAAATGCGCATTTTATTCATTCAGCTATAATAAAACAGCTGTTGTTTTTGTGTGGGAAAACTGAAACAGGTGCAATGTTTTATGTGGACTTTTCAAATTATAATTTGGCATTCAAATTTTTATATGCAAATCAAAAGCAGTAAAGAGAGTATACACAGTTCAGAAAATAGTTGCAGTTGTTGGTTTGAAAATTAAATCAATTATTTTCCAGAAAAAATGAAATAGTCACAATTGCTGCATCGTATTTATAATTAAATGATTTTTTTTTGTATTTTCTGTGTATGTTGTGTATGTATAACGAAAACCAATTTCCTGTCTTTCTTTTTATTTAAAGGAACAAATAACGTCTGATAAAATTAATTATGATAAGAGAGAGAAAAAAAACAAGCAATTAAATGATGATGATAAATGAGATTAATAGAAGCATGTGCATGATGGACAAATGATTATTACAAAAGCATATCTTTTTCAACGATTTTTGTGAATTAAATACTAAGTCTCACATATACAGTTAATTAAAATGCAATTTTGATAAACCTGACATCAATTTTTTTTTGTGATAAAAGCTTAAGAGGGGTCCTGGATACCATCAAGTTGACATTTAAAACGTCTACCAGACGAATAGATTTTGAAAAATGGAAAGCAAAAAAACTGTTTCTTAGACTTTATTGTTGTCTTGAGTACTATTTTCCTGCAGAAGTAAGGTCGTTTGGCAACATATTCTTTTCCAAACTACCTTTGATATTCTCTTCAAATCAGATAAAAATCTATTCAAAATGTTTTATTATGCATAACGAAATGCGAGGTAATTTCCACCAAAAATACGTTACAACAATACATATTATGTATTATGTCATGTATGATATTGCTTATAAATCTATTACATGTATACATGAACTTATATCTCATGTATGAAGTGGAAAATTGAAAATAAAAATGGAATTATGTTTTTAAGTCTGGAATTTTGCACATCGTTACAGTTTTTTTTATGAGAAAAAAGATTAATACAGAATTGAATGTCTTCGAAAAGAGTTTTTTCTTGAAAGATGAATCAGGGGTAGCCAATGAGAGTAATTTTGATATAAAACTACAATCGAGGATAAAATGTAAAGGAGTAAAAGAAAGGTCAATATTGATTCAATATTTGAAGAAGGAATAATCTGCAAGTCAGTGTAGAAAAGGAAAAGGAACTAATGCCTAGATGTCAAGGAAAGAATTTGTTTTAAGGACACATTTTAAAATGGACATTTATAATGTTAAAGATAAGAATGAACTTATAGAATTTTATTAACTACATGAGTTATAATTTTACAGAATTAATATTTTGTTCATTTGAATGAAGTTAAAAATGATTTGTATTGTTTTCTTAGACTTCCACGATATATTTGAAAAATATGGTGATATAATTCATGACATTTAATTTAATATATACAGTGTAGTTAAGGACTAAAATTTAATATTTCATTGCACAAAATTACTTTGTGTGCAAGTTCCATGTAAAAAGAAAAATAAAAATCCTAATTTAGCAATACAGAATTCTTTAGAAAGACCAAAGATGACTCTTTTCTTTTATAAAAAAAAATCCTTCTGCACCAAAATATAGGTCCCCTTTAAATGTTTTCGGTATGGAATTTAATCATGGGTTTCAATTGAAGATAGTTTAATCAACATTACAGAATCCAAATTCATTGTAAGAACTAGAATATTATTTATTTTAAAAAAATAGTTTCAGGACAAAAATCTGCTAAAAAGTTGAAAAGAGTACCTCTTTAATGTAGGTCGCGGGTTTGCTGACGTTGTTAAAACGCAATTCAAATGGTTTGGACGACTTTTTTGTGCACATCTAATTATGATAAAATAAATAGTACATTATTAACAATGTTATAACTCCTGTTGTAAAAAAGGTAATTTATTGTAAAATTATATAAAGAATGATGGCTTTTTCCCTATATAACTAAATAAAATGACATCCGAACTGTTAATGCAACAATGGCATTTTGGTAATTTAATTACACACAAACGATGCAGACAAATGTTTCAAATTTTTAGAGATTATTAAACAAGGGTAGAGAAATCATGTAATTAATTTTCATGATGTTTTCAGACACTTTCAAAGGAAAGGTAATAATTGGTTTCAAGGCGTATGCCATGAACCTCTGAACTTAGGATTCTATGAGTCCATCTCAAATTGACAAAGATATTTGTTATAGTTTGGAATATTTCATAAAATAAAAAAAATGCTGGAAAATTAATTAGATCGTACATGTACTATGAGCTGTATGAACATGTAGAAGCCACTAAACCAATTTTTTAAACAATGGTTATTGAGGAAGTAGGCAAAAGTACCATTTCTTAAAAGAGGAAACAAGAAAAAAAAACAATTAAGAGAATAAAAAGGGTAAGTGCAAAAAATTTTTTTTGTACATGTACGAGGGTTATCAAAAAGTTCTAGGACTGAGGCTATAAAATTAGAACTATGTAGTCTTTGCAAAATTTTTATGGAACATTAAACAACAAAAAATAGAGACTTTACCAGTTTTTTTCAGGGGCAAAATTTTATAGAATGTTGGAAAAGTAACCCCCTCCCCCATCTAGACGTCATTTTCAAGGCCTAATTTGTTTAAACATTCCATGTAAAATTTGCGATAAAATTCCCGAATGAAGTGAAAATTTCATATTTTATGGAACAATTGTGTATACCTGAATTTACGGGATTTTTGGATGTCAAATATTCATATCAGAAGAGTTGTTCTCAGTTACTAGGAGATCGGAAAAACGTCGGGTTCGAGGTTGCGCCGCCTGGACATACCATTGCTTACAAAAACATTACTAATTTATAAAAAAAATAAAATATATGATTTATGGTTTATTATTAAGATGGAAAAGATGATGCTTACTAGATATTTTAAAATTCATTGATGTACCTAAAGCGGTTTTAATTTTATGGCGCTAGTCCACGAACTTTTTGATAACCTCTCGTAATTGAATGAATTTTATTATTTTGTAAGCGCGTTCTCAAACCAATGTTCACGTTTATGATATTTAAATTTAAATTGGGCAAGATAACAATACCTATATTCCTAAATACAACGTCTCTCGGAAGATTAAAGGAAACATAAAAGTTTGACATTCTAAACATTTTTCTGATCAACAAACCTCCTCCAATACCAATCATTCATTTTTCTGAAAAAAAAGAGAAAAAAAATTCAGAAAATATCAAATAATTACGTAAACGGTGTTTCATACACAAAGATTCCCTTGGAAAAAAGAGACGCTAGAGTTCATATTATGTAAACATTCAAACGTCGATCGCTTTGACCTACATTTTACTAGTCTTTCGTCCTACTGTGCTGTTATTTAAAATTATAACGTACCTTTTTCAATGAGGCTCAATTTAGGTTACACAGAAAAATATCGAAAATTGCACACATTGTACAAAGTCTCTTTCATTTTATCTTCAATGCCAATCAACGCAATCAAAGCAATAAATGAGGGACGAACTTTTATATTTGAATGGTGTGGTTTCTAGTGTTTCCTTTATAGATGAAGTTCTTGATTGTCAAGGTAAGATAAACATTCCAGAGATCTTAAAAATTTATGTTCTTGGTCACTATTATTTTTTTGATAGCATGATATTTGATTGTATTAATGATCTATTTATATATATAAGTGTCAATGCTGCATGTGTATGGTAAGAGTACATGATGTTAAAAATAAACAGTAATTATATATTTTTATCTATAAGTTATGCATTTTATGTTATGTTACAACAAATAAGGAAGGTACCTCAAAGTTAAAGTTTTAAAAATAATTTTACCATTTTAATTTATTCGGTTATGTAAAATCTCTCGGTTTCAAATTAAATTTTCTGAATTTTCACTTCCGATGTAAACATCCTTTTTTTTAAATTTGGCGGTTATGAATTGAGAATAACGACATATATACAGAATGAGGTATTCTATTTCAAAGCACAGTTTGTCTAAACATAAAATATGAGGATAAATATATATATGGTTGATCAAAATAGTGAAAGCTTGTGTCAACTCTCTCTGCTAGAATGTTAACTAAGGCGTCTCTTTTAAATAATCTGAAGGCTTATGTACATTCTGTAATTTTAGGTCAACCGACGCCGGAGGATGCTTGTTCACACTTATACTTCAATTAATGGTACTGCGTTTATTAAAATCTTTATCAATAAATGAAAATGAAGATAATTAATGAAAATATACGTAATACGTGTAAACCACTACTTTCCAGGTTGAAATACTCCAGTATTCGATTGAATTAAAAATATTATTACATAAATAATATTATAAAACTGTTAATACATGTACTTAGATAAATAATTCAAAAAAGTGCTGATTCAGTTCTATAGTAAAAACATTGTGAATAGTTTACAAATTATTAATTGTTAAAATTTATAAACTTATTAACTTATATGCATTTTATATGGGCATGAAAAGTTAAGTGACACTATATCTAATTTACAGATGTGGCAGTATTTCCACAAAAATATATTTGGATATGTAATCCCCTGCAATGATTCCTTAAAAACAGTTTCCAGAGTTTTGACTTGTCCAAAAAATTTATCAGAACTCGAAAAAGCAATTGAAAGAAAAAGCTGCTACAAGTGGAAACACTCCTGCAAGTCTTTTGAGTATCACTGTGTAAGCAATGATTGGACAAACGAGACAATAGAAGTTTGTGCCCCGTCACTGCTGATAATTGGTAAAAACTCTATAGAATTTTGAATTTATATGAAAAAATTTTTAAGTACCATGAATGATCTCAAAATATGTACTTTTTCTCTCTAGTAAAAAATTAAAATCACCTTTAACATTTCATATCATCCGTATATCAGAGTAAGAATTATATAAAAAAAAGTACAGATGTAGCTGATCACTGCATATATACAACTTGTCATGACTTTGTGAAAATCAAGTGAAATGTGTTGATTTATATAAAGAAAAAACAAAAAATTCACCTAATGTTATTTCTTTGTGAATTTACTTATGCAATATAAATGTTTCTCTAAATGTTTATACTAAAAGTTGTATTGAGTATCAGCCCAGGTGTGTTGTAGCTAATGGCCAAATCTTTATAGTTACTCTTGCAAATTCGTGATATCATATAGAAGATTGTATATACTAGTAATTAATTCCTTTCTTTGTGATTACTTTTCCAGGTGGAATATGTGCTGAGTTCAACACAGACAGAAGAAGTGTCCGTGCCAATTATTTTACAGATTGCAAAAAATCTTTCCCTGCATGCCCAGATTCATATAATTCGACAACATCATATAAATGTAGGAATTGAAAGAAGTTCACTCGACAATAGATTTATATACTGGTTATTACTAAGTAGTTAATTGCAAATAGTTCCTAGTCATATACTTCATTGTCAAATGTGCAAAGTCTTATTTAAATAATATTTAAAGTAAAATTTCTGCATTTTGAAATGTTTTTAGCAATATGTATACAGTTCAGACAATCAAACCATTTGTAAACACCTACAGTTATTTCTATATTTGCATTAATAATTGTTAGTCAATTTTATAATGAGTCTTTAATCCATAAGCAATTGTTGTACATCTTTCAGATTTTGGTTGTTTTTCTAACGTCACAGAAAGAAGGGTGACTACTCTGCAAAAATAGTGTCATCACAACATCTACAGGAAACTTCAAAACCAAATACAGTTGATGAGTAAATGATTTTTCAATTTTTATTATTATTATTATTATTATTATAACATGGAAAGCTTCTCACTCTACCTACTTTATAATATTTTTTCCAGAATCCATAATGAAAATGTGAGCAAAAAGTACCCTTCTCATTTGCATGGTTGTAATCACTCTCATGGCAGGATGTTTATCTGGATTATTGGTGTACTGCATTAGAAAACGCGGTTACAGCTTTCAATTGTTTACAGGTATATGTAGATATGTACGGGTTTCGTAAACATGGAAATACACATAGAAGATTGACCGATAAGATCTAATTGATTATACATGCCATATATTTTGTAGTGAATATTTAGTAAGGTAAAATATTGTGGAAGAATTTTGACAGAAACATGTTTATTTTTGTCTTTTCTTGGTAGCATGGATTTTTTAAATTTTTTTTTTATATGATTAAAGAAATTCTTCTATCATGGGGTATTCAATTGCGTTGACAAGCAATGTCCTTCTATGTGTATCTCAAAATAAACAAATCAAATGTTTTTGGTTAAATTCAGAATTTCAAATAATCATTTCATGATATCCTAATGCAAAACAGTGTTTTGAACAATTATCTTTAACATTCTAAGTATCAATAAAGAAAATAATTAATTTTCACTGTTTAAAATTAATTTGAAATCTTGCAGGAAAAATAGTTAAGATAACGAACAGTGATCAATATAATTAAAAAAAACAATCAAAATACAAATATGTGAAGAGTGCTCAAAAAACAGACCCAAAGAAATTCCAGGAGTGAGATCAAGTACCTAGGATTAATAAACATCACACAAATGGTCAAAACCGCTGTGAGCCCTACATACATATTTCAGATACATTATACATTAAATTAAAGGTAAGAAATTGACAAAAAGTGTTGCTCTTGAATTATGCTCCAGAAGTTTTAAACAAGTATCATTGATGGCTTCTCAGTGTCAGCTCTATGATTGCCTTGAGAAGATTAAAGTTTTCGTGTTTATAACATTAATGGAAGATGATTACTGAGAATATTTATTCATTTTTAGCTCACCTGAGCTGAAAGCTAAAGTGAGCTTTTCTGATCACATTTTATCCATCGTCCGTCTGTCTGTCTAGCTGTCTGTCCGTCTGTAAACTTTTCACATTTTCGACTTCTTCTCTAGAACCAATGGGCTAATTTCAACCAATATTCCACAAAGTCTTCTTGGGTAAAGTGGGTTCAACTTGTTCAGATGAAGGATCACGCCCTTATTCAAGGGGAAATAATTCAGAAATAGCGAAGATTTGGTGGCATGTTTGGAAAAATCTTATTAAGAACCATTGTGCCAAGAAAGATGAAACTTAATGGAGAAACATTCTCAGGATGTGTAGATTCAAATTTGTTCAAATCATGCCACTGGGGGTAGGGCGGGGTCACAATGCCGATCAAAGTTTTACATAGAAGTATATAGAAATATTCTTTTTAAAATCTTCTTCTCAAGATGAGCAAAACCATGATTCATTATATGTATAAGGGGGGATTCTCAGGTAATGTACATTCAAGTTTGTTCAAATCATGAACCCATTGGGTAGGGCGAGGGCACAATGGCTGATCAAGGTTTTAAAAAAAAAAATATATATATAGAAAAATTCTTTCAAAATATTCTTCTCAATAATAGCAAAGCCATGGTTGGTCATATTTATATTGAAGCATTTTCAGTTACTGTGTATTCAAGTTTGTTCTAAATCATGGGGTAGGGCGGAGTCACAATAGCCGATCAATATTTGGCATAAAATTATTTTTTAAAAATTCTTTAAGAATCTTCTTCTCGGTTATAGCACAGTTATGATTAGTCATTTTTAAATGAAAGCAATCTCTGGTAGCGTAGGTTCAGGTTTGTCCAAATCATGATCAACGGGGGTAGGGCATGACTACAATGGCCAATTCAAGTTTTGCATAGAAATATTTAGAAAAATTCTTTTAATATCGTCTTCTCAAGAATAGCAAAGTCATGATTTGTCATATTTGAATGGAAACATTCTCAGTTAGTGTATATTCAAGTTTATTCAAATCAAGACCCCCGTGGATAGGGCGGGGCCACAATGTCCTAATTAAATTATAACTTAAGAATATTTCGGGAAAATATTTCAAGGACAGAGAAACCAGGATTGGTCATATTTTAGTAAGAGGGGGGGGGTTGGGAGGGGGTAGTTGAAGCCACAATGTAAGTTCAAATGTGAAGGGCAATAAAACCACAGGTAATCAAAAAAATATGCAAGCTTCCTCAGTTAGTGTAGATTCAACATTGTTCAAATCATACCCTTTAAGGATTGGTTGAAACTACTTTTTGTGTTTAAACTTTTTAAAATGATAAATAAAAGTAATTTCAGTTTTTTCATAGCCACAGTGCTCAGGCCCATGGGCCTCTTGTTTATCTCAAATGTTTTTAAGCTTGTATATCGAAAATTTAGAACTTTGCATTTCACAGAAAAATATCAAAACAAAAGACAAAACGAGATGCAGGACACTGCAGATAAAGAAACAGCGACAACATTGATAGGGTTAAATGAAGAGACGCCAGTCTGATTTCATTCAATACTGGCAGATTATTTCAGTATTTTATTCCCTTTTTTAAGAAACATGAAATCGTAACTTATATCATTCACACTGCGTTTATTATTCTAGCTGATTCAATTAAGTGAGATCATTACATTTTAGCATAACACTTGCTTTTATCAAATTTTAAACAATATTCTACGCAATCAAACATGCTTTTCAATTAAAAACTAAAGAATATTTGTAATGTGTAATCTACACAGAATATGTTTATTTTTATCTGAATTCAGGTTCAAAATTTCAAAAAGTTAATTATTCAATTTAGGCGATGCAAAGTTTGTTAGTTTTTAAAAGATACTCTTTCAAAAAGAATAAAGTGATGGATATTTTTCATAGCACATAATACAATACAAAACAAAACAAAACAAAACGTTTTAAAAAAATTCAAAGACTTATGATGGAAGTTGTTTGTATATATTGTATATATTGCCAAGAAGAGGTACATATGTAAGTATCCCATGTTGAAAGAACTGCCGACAACTAATTCATAATCGTTTTCACACATACAATTTTTGATCAAATACTTTTTGACATCTAACAATATGTTCACATGTACCGGTTATTATAAAAAATATCTTTTGATACATTGTGTTAGTTTTCTTATAAAAATATTTTGGCAGCTTTAATTATTACCATATGTGTTCAGGTTTATGTTTTTTTCTGTTTCTATTGTATTAATTCATTATAAAAAAATATGTATTCTCGGAAATATAAAGAAATCGTAGGTTTTCCTTCGTGCTTGAATATGAGACTTTGTTATGCTTCCTATATAATTCCATACAAAATTGTGCTAAAATTTTTTACCTTATGACAAAATTTGCTTAAAAATTTCCACTTTACTCGGTAAACATTATCCAGGTTACCATTGCTGATTTCCGACAAAAAATTGTTTTTGTCATTCATCCGTAAAATAAATTGAGTTTTTCTCCACTAATTAAGTCATTTGTTTAAACTTTTGTTTAACTTTTAATGCATTTTGTAAAGTTGATATTTTTATGTTGTTAGCTTTTATCATTATTAACTACTGTGTTCATACGAGTACAATATATTCTAGATAAGGCATTCTCATTTCTCATGTCATTTCGATTTTATATAATATCCTCCTCTGAAGAATCAATCTTTGTTAAATTGTATATCATTTAAATTAGTTTGTTTTTTTTAACTTTTTATAAATTTTTCAAACTGTGTTCATTTTTATTTCATTTAATATTTATTAGTATTTTTCACACCAAATGTGTTCATGTTCAAATTTATAATATTTAATAATAAGGGTTTTAATAGTTTTGTATCTCCAGTATTATTGTTATTTCTATGTCAATTGCCTTGCTCATGAATGCTAATAGTTTTTGAAAGTTGATCAAATGTTGCACATCTCTTCCTTCTAAAATCAAAAATGTTAGCCGGCATGGTCTAGATAATGCACTTTTTATCTAAGGGTAATTTTAATACTGTACATTAATTGCTGTTTTTTATGTCAAAACTATGATTTAACTGAGGAAAACAATATTCACCAATCCCGAAAGGCGAGTACAGTATTGCACGTTGAAGCTGGCTAAAACATGGTTCACCAAGAAAACAGCAATTAAAGTTAAAATGATACAAGCTTATCAAATACCCCATGTCAATAACTTCTTTACAAAGCCAAAGGCCTAGTAAAACACTTTGAAAGAAGGGGTGGTTAAAAATATAGGGAATTTTATTAATTTAAAATTCTTAAAATCAAATTTTAGTTCAATGTAGATGTGATTAAATGTATGGATCGATTTTGATATGGTGATTCTAAAAAGGAAACTTAAAACCAATTTATCAGTAAAATAAAATGTATATCCTTAAAACGAGAAGAACTCTCTAAAACGTAATACATGTATTATTTTGAGGGAAGTGGTGTAATGGTTCCATTGATTATCACAGTTGTAGGGATAGGTGTGGGGCAACAAGCCTTATAATGATACAAAAGGTGTGGGATTGGGACAGTTCCCCATGCAGCCCCATCCCCCTCAATTTTATGTCACTGAATATTATGTTCTCCGTAGTAGAAGCCTGATGAAATTGTAATTACTTATAATTTTTTGTATATATTTGTTGTTTCCTACTGTGATCTATTTTAGTTTGGATATAGAAAATAATAAGTTATTATGTTCACCTCTTTGAAAGGCAAGTGTAGGTAGATCGTAGTGAAATATTTTTTCTTCAAATGTTATCATCTTAGCCAATTAAGGAGATCAAAACAAAAATATTGAAATACTATCATTTTGATTATTGTCATATAATTATGTAAATTGTTTTACTCAAGAGGAATTTTTATAATAATTATGCTCTTTTTTTTACAAAAATGGATTAAAACACTAATCCGGATTTCACAACTTATTTTAAACAAGAAACTATTTCATGTTTTTAAATATATAAAAAAAAT